TTGATATTATAAGATTGTTTTGGATAAAACTTCGCAAATACTATACGACACAACGAGGAGATACAAGTACTGTAGATTTGATGTCCAACAAAACTTTTGATACACTTTTCACCATACACGGCAACGCTATTACGTTTCAGAATGGCAAGAATCGTATTTGATTGGAGTGAGAGAATGGGACGCTTATGTAAACTTTAACAAAACTCATAAGTTTTTAATAAAGCGATAGTAAGTTATCGTAGTTGAAAGGAACTCGAATAAAATTGCAGACGGTAGATATTTTGGTTCGTCAAGTGAAAAAAAGACACCAGAGTAAGTTCATTGCAATTGATGAAGAACCCGATGACAGTTAAGGGGAGGTCAGGTTAGTGATACAATTTTGTGGTCCATACTGGAATGAAAGAACACAATTCACGACGAAACCGTTTTTCTATGAATCGCTCCGAATTCGGAAAGGCGATGAACGATCGACTATATGAACTTCAGAGCGTTACGAAATTTTGATTCATACGATACATCGTCTGTATTGTATCTTTACGGCTGGCTAGGAGAGAACCTAATTTCCTTATAGAGAAAACAAAATTACAGTAAATCAGAGAAAAGAACAGTTCCTAGGGTGGTTTTATGTCTCGCATACATATATATCAACAACGACACAAAAACTTCAAAAAATGCAACGAATCTTACCTGTGTTCCAACTAACAACACTGGGACATCGCTTAAATTGCGATATTTAGCCATTTGATTATAGTAATGAAGTACGGTCTCGAAGCTGTCTTGACTCTCCAACGAAAAAACAAATATTACTGCATCAATCCACTGAGCGAACTGAAAATAAAAACAAATTCGAGATTATTTATAGCAGAAAGAAGGATGAATATCGCTTTGAAAAAACAATTCATTTGAAGAGTTTTTTCTTCCTTCGTTACAGATGAAAAAGATGAGCAGCTCAGATGAATCACCACTGTTTGGTCAACTGCGTCGTTACTTTGCTGTTTTTCTGTTTTATGATATCATCTGTTTTTATGATATCACTGACAAACCAGTAATTTGGAATGTGAATATGACGAACAGAAAAACTAAAAGAAAACGAAATTATCCTTCAAATTCAGTGAAACTATCTCTCTGCACTATAAAACATCTTAAAAAATATCTCTTCACGTGAGTATTTTGAGGGGGAGTAGGAGGATTGTAACAATCTGTTATTCACAGTGATATCATTAACCAACCAGTAAACATTCGATAACATCTAGCCAAATCAAAAACATCGCACCGACACTATCATGAGGTTTTCGTTAAGGCAAACAACTGGGAACCCGTATGAAATGAAATGAAGCCANGTTTTTATCGTTAGCGAAAGTGCACCTGTTCAAAGAGGAATCTAACCAGACAGATCGGCCATTCATTCAAGGGAATGAACCCATGAACCCTCAAGATAAGATAAGAAGGCGTGCAGCTTCGAAACGTTTACTTAACTAATTAACTGTCGGCAATGACTGTGAACCTCTTTGATGATAATGTCTTATGGAAACCTCATCAAGAAACTAAATTGTCCACTAAGTTGTCTAATTAAAATTAATCCCAAATGCAATTCATTCAAATAATGAATACGAAGAGCAGATGCAACAAAAATTATAATTTCTACTCAAAGTAATCACCGCAAACAATTTGATCCAATTAATATCGAACGAATAATTTCCTCTCTTATTAATGTGATCAGTTAATCGGAAAAAAGGAACCGATCGAATTGGTATAATCATTTCTCTAAAGTGAATATTTGAAATCTATTGTCCATACAGAGGATTTTATTTGAAGAAGCCGCTTCGAAATTTGAAAATGTTTCTGGATCATAATTGTTATCAACAGCAACATGACTGAATAATTAAATGTTGTCTAGCTTGGCGGGCAGCATGAATTCATCATAGGCCGATTTGCCTTGATTTGATACAGTTATGAATTCGCAATTCATTCTTAATTGTCGAAACATAAAATACCTGATATTCAGGAACACCACTGCCTTCGTCACGAATTAACAACAAATAACTTTGACCGTCGAGAACCACTTCTTTCTTGAAGCGGCCACCTAGAAGAAAGAGCAAATGAAGGTTTTTTACTCCAGTGAAGCGGTGAATAAAGTACGATATCGTCAACAATCAACTGAACAGAAGGTTTCAATGAGATCATCTATTCGAATCCATCACTGCGGCGACATACGTGTAAGCGTGACCGTAATGATTTACAACAATTCGTTGAACACACTCTGATTCAGCAATTTCGAAACTGACCTTCTGGCGACTCTTCACTGGTATAAGCACCGGTCAAATAGCGATGAACGAGTGATGTTTTGCCGCTGTGCAATGACCCGACAACGCCCTGCAATGAATATTCATACAGTTCATAGAGCATTTTGCATTCTGAGCATTTTGCA